GTGAGTTTTTTCGCTATGCAAGTAAGAGAACTATTTCCCAAAATTTCACTTTTTTGCAGGCAAATAAGAGAACTATTTTCCAAAATTTTTGGTCGACTGAGACACTTTTTCTTGCAGGCTTTCATTAACAAAATATAAACTGGAGTCCATTTAAAATGCTAGACGAAGCAGGTGCACAAAGTAACGAAAATCATATAAGTGACGTGCGATTTCGTCTAAAAATTTAGTTGGAATTCTAACTTGTTTACACGGTCAAGTGCCTCCCATTATCCACTGTGCTCAAATCCAGTTGCATCGAAGTGGCATAGAATCAGTGGAACTAAGGTATTAAAGTACACTGAGGAAACTCTTGATGCAGTTATTTTACTATAAAAGGACAAAATCACCAACACCGGGCACTGCATCGTCATGCCGATCCTCCTCCAGTTATTCCATTAACGCTACTTCTATCCCTGTAGTTTTTAGAAACAAATGGAGCTGTTTCTAAAACGAAAATCGTTTGTTCAATTTCTTTAATGCGAAATCTAATCCGCTAGAAATTTGCTGATTCACTTTCATAAAATTTAGTGGTACTGCTGGTACTAAGAACTACTATTTCTCTTAGCTTTTCTGTAAGCAAATCACGAACGAGAAAGCCAATGGCAGTTTCACTGCAGCAAGAGCTACTGAAAGTCTCGTTAGCGGTGGACATTGCTGGCAATGTACTTGACTTTTGGGCTTCCTCCAAATATTTCAGCTTCTCATAGAAGGAGGAACACGGAAGCAGATTGACTTTTGACTTCGATTTCAACTTCACAAACTCTTTTTCTTCATATTTCTTCCCAGGCTGGAACGCACTGGGCGGGCCCGTGCGATCGTGTGTTTTTGCGTCGGACTTGAATTACTCAGGTCATTAACTGTATGAATGGCTGTTGCTTTACAACTACCTTTTGCGGTCACTAACATAAGTCACCATAAATTTAGCAAAGTAAATGTACTATTTCCATTTAATAGCCATTCTTTAAAAGTAACCTAGCAATTCAGTGAGAAATTTTTTCGTCAAGAATTCTAAGTGTCCATACGTAAGAACCACGTATACATCAAGGCTGAATTTGAAATATTTAAGGTGTACTCGGACAGAGAACATTCCCACAAAATTTCAGCTTTTCTGTTTACCGAGTTAGCAATTTTCTCGCCAAAGCTTGGGAAGCTAAATTTGAAATTTTTAAATTGCACTTGCGCAGGGAACATCCACCTAAAACTTCAACCTTCCAGCTCTTTTGGTTGCCGAGTTAGTAACTTTTTTTCTACAGAAAATTTCATACGCCCTTACTTGAGTATCTTGCACAGCTTGGGGCTGAATTTGAAATGTTTGAGTTGTACTTCAATAGGGAACTCTTCTCCAAAATTTCAGCTTTCTAGCTTTCCTGCTACCCGTGTTAGCAATTTTCCCCCCAAAACCTTCGTACGCCCCTAAATGAGTATCACGCATACCTAGGGGCTGAATTTGAAATCTTTAGCTAGTGCATGCACACGGAATATTCCTACTAAGTCTCAGCCCTTTAGCTCATGTGGTTCCCGAGATCGTTTTTCTGCCAAACAATTTCCATAGTTTTTTAAAATGTCAGTACGCGGCACCCAGGAGTCCGAGGGGAATGAAATTAAAGTGGGAGGGTCGCGCATGGCATGGGCACAAACTCCCAGAGTTTCAGTCTTCTAGCTTTTCTAGTTCTCCAGTTGAAAGTGGTGACGAAAAGCGCGAACACACAGACACAAGGACACACACACTCACGGACACACACACACACACACACAGCCTCTTCCCAATATGCGTCTTTGCAATTTGCATATACGCAAAAACGCATAAAAAACCAATGGACTCACAAGCGTAGTTCGAGCGCTAATTTTGTTATTTTTTAATTTTTTTAGTGTGAAAGATGCGCTGCAACGCCCTTTGGAACTTGATCCTATTTGCCTTTGTACTTCTGTTCGCTGGCATTCAAATGTCCGATGCCAAGTTCATCGAAGAAACGTTCGAGCGTCCCGTAGCCAGAGTTAAGGCCGCCAAAGGTTGTGCATTCTGACTTCAAAAGTTTCTTTCATATTTGGATAACAGATCTGTTTTCGTTCTAGAATAATCAAAGCATCACTGTATGTTTTATGATTATTCCCTACTTTAATCAGCTGTTGTTTCATCATCACTGATGCACTTGGCAATTTCTATTTCAGTTTACCAGTCTCTCATTCAAATAATTTCAGTTTGCATTCATGCGATTTAAAAATATCGCGTTAAACTAAGGCACCAATTTTGTCCATCATATTTGCTGCAGAGCTATTAATAAATACCTCCAAAAAGGGATACTTACCTTGCCTTTCCTCACTTTTCCTTTCTATCTTTCTCCGTAGTATCTATTACCACATCAAGTGCTTAGGCTGAGCAGCGAATTTAGCAGTAATTTTAACAGCTCGCCGAAGAGCATGGCAAATGTTTGTTCTTAATTTTAAGCTGGAAGTAAGGAAATTCTCTGCAAATGTTTGACTAGAATGGTGTTTTTATAAGCGCAGCTTTAGTACGGATAACGTATTTGTAAGAGAGATCGAAGAAATCATTCCCACATCACCGCCAGTGTTACCTTAATCCTCGTGAGAAGAAAACAAAAACAAGGGATGCCTCGAATCTCCCGTGGTTTTATTTGTCATAGCTGAGCAAGATCTTCAAAACGTGATTCCCACTGCACAGATAAATCTGTCAAAAAAATCAAGCGAGATTTTCCTGATGCTAAAACGTGATAACTGATTGATTTCAAGGCGCCAACCCAGATAGAGTCAAAAACAGCAACAAGAAGTTACACGGTAGACGCGGTGGTGCGTGACGATCAGGAAAGCATTCAGTTGGATTCAGTGCGGCAGGAAGGTGATCGGGAAAATTTTTCGATATTAGTATAATTATTGTTGAAAATGCATATAATCACTGCTATAAACTACTGCAACGCTTTGCTTTAAGGTCAGCTTTATGAGAATTCAGCATGAAAGAGGGGTCACAAACATAACTGTTTTCTTCCCTTCCCGGATCAATGATAATATATGTTTGTCTGTGAGAATCCCGAAGCATCATTCATTTTTTCCAAGAACATTTACAACACTGTAGGCTCACTTTGCTCATTCATTTATCCTAGAAACATAGAAACTTCAGCATACACACACTTCACAAGTATCGTATATGTACTAAAACTTAACTTACAGATTTTAAAGAAATCCATAAGCTATATTTGAGATGCTGTACGGAACAGGGTGCCCATCCGTGCTAGGTATTTCATAAGATCGGTGCACTACTTGTATTGCTTTTTGCAGTTGCACCATACTGACAAAATCCTATCATCATTCACAGAAAAAAGGTTCATCCAAGCTAGCTATTACAGACGAAGCGTCAGTTTGCACTTTTATAATAACAAAAAAAAAGACAATCGGACTACCGCTCTGCATCTAATCATGAACTCTGGATGAAGCAAAAGAAATAATTGGAGTATGACCAGAACACAGAACACTCACGTGTGCCATACACTGTATTTTGTTTTTCTGCGAAATTCTCCAAAACCAGTTTTCGTTTCGCTTTTTTCGGTTACGTCAGTTTCAAATGCTTTCAAAACTACAACTTTCACTGCAGATTCTTTAATCGGTGCATTTTAAAACAGAATTTTCGGTGAATAATTTAAAATGTCCTGGCTTTTTACTTGACCGCTTATTCTCTATCTTTTATCCAAGGACCACGCTGTTCATTCTTTCTCTCATAACAGAACCCTTTATTGCCTTTATTGTATATAAATCTACATCTTAAGGGAAGTAATCAGCCAAATATACACTTCTTTAACCAATTCGTGCACATTTTAATAATCAGACTTATTAAATATATCATATACGTTTGCAGGCTTCCTGTACCACTACTCTCAGGCGGAGGCTGGAGGTTCAGCTCAGTCAGTGCAAGTCAGTCTTTTGTAATTCATCCACACATTTCGATCCTGAGCTGATACGGGGGCAAGCTAGAGAATCGAAACTGACATCAGCTTTCTTCTAGACAGCTTTCGAAAGAGCGAATTATCAAGTCTCAGGCAATTCTGTCAAAGAATATTTGCTGTTAGCATTTGCTCCAAGTTTGCTATTTCTGACTGCCTCCAACTCTTATAGGGAGTTAAAAAAACACAGTAAGGGAGCTTGAGCTTCTAGAACCACCCATCTGTTATTCCTTAATGTTCACAAGTAGTGCCCAGTGTTATTGAGAGTAGCCACTACACAAAAGGACTTTGTTTAAGAAGGCATAGTCGCGTCAGACCTATGACAGCATTTCAGTAACATCATTAACGTGGAGTAATCCTAGGTCTGGGCAATCCTGGGTTTCCTGATAAACAACGGTGACGCAAAAAAACTTAAAATATGACGGAATTTTCAGCAACTATTATAAAATAATGTGAATGAAAATGCTGCAAGATAAAGAAACGTAAATTTATTGTATGTCTGCTTTGGGAAAAAACTGGCCAAAAGTTTGGATTTGAGGTAGACTAAGTATTTAACAAGTACAGTGCAAAATTTCATATACAATTTAAAATCAATTTAGCTGACGATCAATCTTAGCAAGCGATATGCATTAATATGGAACATTAACGTTGACCAGCCGCTGGTCAGTTACTTGTTGACCCGTCGGATAAACCCACTGATAATAGTACGTGCCAGCGGTGTATCTTGGTGCCATTCCTTGACGAAACCAGGCCGGCCACCACACATAACGTCGTCCAGTTGGATACGAAAAAACCGCATAATTTCCAATACCGTTCACTGCCTAAAATTATCAATGAAAAACTAGATTAACATGTATTAAAGGCTTGACGACGCCACTACACTTTCCACGTTGAATTTCTGAAAACTTGCAATGCATCATTGCGTGAAAGCATGTATAAGTTCTTTCATCTCATTTGTGTGATCGAAATGGAGCGATACGATTGAGCAGGCAAGCAGCTGCTATAATAAACTGGCTGTGTAAAGAAGAATCGACCAGTGAGGTATCAGAACCGCATCGGGGACGTCAGTGTCGACAGTGATGTACTAAACGCTACACAGGAATCATCTCCAGGAAGAATGTCACAGCAACTGCAGTGCAGCCGAGAGCTGCCGTGTTTTGTATTTTGGTGCTTTGTGCTTGTATTGATAGCTGTATCAAAGTACAGAGGAATGTGGGGAGCCCAGCATTATTCCGGTAAAGAATAAGTCTTTTTTCGATTGAATAAAGACTTATTCTTTACCGGACTCAACACGTAACAATGAATTTTGAACGTATCATCGAATTGTCATTCGATGTAACGTAATCACTGGTAAAAATTGAGATACCGTGCTCGATATTATTAATTTAGATAATCGTATTGGCAGTTCCGTGAGGCCAAAGCCTCGACGGTCCTTGTGCGGAAGTATAAAAGGCGTGAAGTTGATCCATCTATTGCCGACGTTGATGCTCTAAATTTCAACTTCCAATTTTTTGTTTTAACCAAACAGTTACGTCATCACATCAGATTCCCAGGCACAAACACGAGCAACATTTTTCCGGAATTAGATCCGAAGCATAATCAATCACCAGTGCTTGGCGAATTAAACCACAAAAATTTCCAGTTTGTAGTATTTTTTTCTTTCTTATATTACAATGCTGGATCCAAATATGCACAAGTAGGTGAGACTCTTTTAAAATCTACTTGATATTTGATGATATTTCTTAGTCTAATGTAAAATTTTTAACATTATTCACGTGCAAACGTTGAGAAATAGTGAAGCAAAATAAAAATATCAAAAAATGAAAACTGTAGTATATACGAAAAATTAGCAGTTTAACTGAAGCTAAGACGTTTTGTTTACTGAGCTCTGTATGTCGTAAATTCAGCGCTACAGTTGGACCTCATCAATTCAACGGCTGTTAAAGTAGCTCACGATTTAAGGAAATTTTATAATTGCATTTTCAAAAAATCTTGGCGTCATTTTCTCTCCGAAACTGAATATTTTCAATGTCTCCTTGGTCCAATCAAAAAAAAGAACATTCCTAGTTTTCCAAATTTGTAAAAGTAACACACATAATTTCCCACAGCTAAATTGTTGAATCCACCGATAACAACTCCAGTAACAGCGCTCTGCATTGAAAACAATCTGCAAAAATCGATTTTTGGAATGATTTTGAACGTAAACGTTTATTTTGAAAGGAATGAACGATATATAGATGAAAAGTAAGAATATGAAAAAGTAGGGATGTTCAAAAACAGAACCTTAAAACTCCTAGAGTCCATTTTTTGCAGTTTTTTTATAGGGAAAGAAACTTCGTTTGAAACGAAACGGCAACATTCCAACTTCAACTTACAACACAATCAACAAGCTCATAAATTTTGTGGCAGGAAAATGTCTCGTGAAATCTAATCTAAGTCGTAATGGTAATGCTAGCATGTCGTTTACCGTAAAAACTTTTACGCTAAATTTAGTGGAGCATAGAAGCTGCAAGGATTTGTTGAGCGCTTTCGACTAACCCAGTAAAAATCTTTATGCTTTATTCGTTGATACTTTACTTTGATCAGCTACGATTCACAACATGACGCTCAAGCTATGCAGTTAGCAACTTTTCCAATTTGCTTTGACCTGTGCTACGTCGACTGCCAGCAAATTTGGTTCTTAAAAAGATCTTCACACTTTGTTAAGACAGATTCTCAACAAGAGAAGAATGAGCTCGAGGACGCTTCATAAACTGTTGTCACATTGATAAAAATGTTTAACTTTTCACAGTTTCAAGCTTATTTCTACTGCAGCTAAAACACCACACTGGCACGATACAGTTCTGCTACCTAAACGAGTTGCGTTTCTTCCACATTTTTCTGCTGCATAGGTTCAACATAGAAAACTTTTAGATCTAGCACATATGGAAACTCAGTGGTTAATTGCTAGTGCTGGAATATTAGAATCAAAGGTAAAGGATCAATCCAAATTTTACGCATGATTAGGACATATTAGAAAGCAGTTTGTATTTCATCCTTTAGCTGTAAACAGACAGAGCAGATAGGAACGAGGATCATCAGAGCAGCTTCCTTTCCATTATTTATATGATAAGCGTGTGTTTTTTGCACTGAGAACCACTGAGAGAAGGAAAAAAGACGAGAGGGGAAAAGAAGAACGAAGATAATTGGCCAACGCACGGGCTGCCCGTGTGAAGGTGCGTTTTTTGCATAGCTTCCCGCAGATTTTTGTCGCTAACGGCACTGGTTTTTCCGGCAGATACTTATAGCTAAAAGGATTTTAGATTGGCCGCCGAGACTGTCGGGAAAAATCCTTTCAAAATTTCAGTCTTCTAGCTTTTCAAGCTCTTGGGTTAGCAACTTACCCGGAAGAAACTTTCACGGGCCCGTACATAGGTATTATGTTTACCCGTGCGCAGGTTTTGAACTCGTTAATACCAACTTGGACAGGGAACATCCATCCCCCTAAGATTTCAGCGCTCTAGCTTCCCGAGTTATGAACTTACCCAAAAAAAAAACATTTTGGCGAGCCCATACGAGGGTACCACGCTTACCCGGGGGATGGGTTTCAGTGCATTAATACCTACTTGGACGGGGAACACCATATTGAGATTTCAGCGCTCTAGCTTCTCAGATCCCCGAGTTATGAACTTACTCGAAAAAAATTTGGCTGGCCCGTATGCGGGTACAACGCGGGTGGTGGCGCCCATTTTGGGGATTGGAGCCGGCACATGCAAGTAGAATAAATTCCCGAAATTTCAGCCCTGCAGCTTTTATAGGTCTTGAGATGAAAGTGCGTGACAGACGCACACACAGGCACATAGACACATGGACGCACAGACAACCCCTTGTCAATATGCGTTTCTGCATTGCATAGCTGCAAAGAACGCATAAAAAACTTACATTAGAATCAGGATGAACATGCTGCAGCTTGGAGCTACCTCACATGCGCAAGCCTGCAAAGTTCGCTACATGAATTAATATCTGCAGCTTACGCCATCACGCAAGGAGTCGCGTAGTAAGTGTTTTTTCTGAAATGGACACTTTTAAAGCAATTTTCATTTCCACACAAAATACACCTGCAGCATCACCTTCGTGGAATTAAACACTGCTGAATGATTTGCTCACTGTTGAAATTTCATTAATAAATTATTAGTAGTGTGTATAAAATCACTAACATGGGATACCCACAAAGTCAGACTAGGAGATCCCAGATGGCTCAAGCGGCATTGATATTTATGTTACTAAATAGAGAAATGTCAATGACAGTTATTACACAGAAATGTTAATAACTGTTATAACACTCTTCTTGGCTTCAATCCTTGCATCGATCAAAAGCAAAATGTGACTTGAAGATCCCAGATGGTCCATTTTTTCACAGCCTAATTCGAGATGGTATTTCGCAAATTGAATTGGAAGGATCTGTCACTGTTGACGCCCGGAGTTTAAATGTAATGCTGGCCGCATCAGCCTCTGGTCTGACAGAATGAGGGATAATAATGAAGCCAAAAAACCTAATTTTTACCGTCGCTGTTCTTTCTGCTGCTGACTTATCGACTACTGTTACTGAAGCAGTATAAACTCTTTTATCGTCAGATAAGTTAAGAGCAGGTTGATTATACTTGAGCTCTGTCAGCATACCTTCCAAAAGAGTATCAGTATAAGTTCCTACGTCAGCGCTGTTGAAGGTGTCTGTTGCCGAATCTATGCTTAAAAGTTGATCAATTTTATCGGTCGTAAGAGCATTATCAGTACAAAGTGGATTTCCTTGAGCCGTTTCTGTAACGTTCAAAGGAAGCATCTCTTGCTTTGGTCTAAACTGGCTC